TCTTTAGATTCTACATATAAGCAAAATCACATTGCATCTGTCTTTCTCTGTCTGACATACTCCACTCAGCACAATACCCTCCAGGTCCATCCAAGCCAACACAGATAGCAAGAAACCATTTCTCTCCATGGCTGAGCAATATTTCATTGTATATATATATACATATATATATATATGTGTGTGTGTATATATATATATATATATATATATATATATATATATAACGTACTTTTTACCCATTCTTCCATTGACGAACACCCAGGCTGCCTTCACATCTTGGCCATTGTAAACAATGCTGCAATGAGCATATGGATGCACATGTCTCCTCAAAGTAACATTTTAGGTTTCTTTGGATAAATACCAGGAAGTGGGTTTACTAGGTCTTTCTTCATCTCTTGTTATAGCCTTAGTTTTAAAGTCTATTTTCTCTGGTATAAGTACTGCTACCCCACTTTTTGTTTGTTTGTTTGTTTCCATTTTCATGAAATAACTTTTTCTATCCTTTAACTTTCAGTCTCTGTGTGTGTCTTTCAATCTGAAGTGAGTCTCTTGTAGGCAGCATATACTATAAAGGTTTTGTTTTCTTATACATTCAGCCACCTTGTGTTTTTGATTGGAGCATTTAACCCACTTACATTGAAAGCAATTGTTGATAGATATGTAGTTATTGCTATTTTATTATTTATATTTTTTATCTTTTTGTTTGTTTGTTTTTTTCTTTAGCCCCCATCTTGAAGAAGTCTCTCTAACATTTTTTTGTGTGATACTGGCTTGGTGGTGATGACTCCTGTAGCTTATTCTTGTCTGGGAAGCTCTTTATCTCCTTCAGTTTTAAATGACAGCCTTGCTGGGTAGAGTAATGTTAGTTGTAGGTTCTTGCTGTTCATCACTTTGAATATTTTGTGTAAATCCTTTCTGGTCTGCAAAATTTCTGTTGAGAAATCAGCTGATAGTTTTATGGGAGCTCTTGTAGGAAACTAACCACTTTTCTCTTGCTGCTTTTAGGCTTCTCTCTTTGTTTTTAAACTTTGCTAGATTAATTATAATGTGTCTTGGTGTGGGCCTGTTTGGGTTAACTTTTTGGGGGTCTCTCTGCACTTTCTGGGCTTATATGTCTATTTCCTTTGCCAGGTTAGGAAGGTTTTCAGTCATTATTTCTTTTTTCTTTTCTTTTGTTTTTAAATTGGGGAAATGGGGGAGGGAACAATATCGGGGAACTAGGGAAGGGGACCAGCCAAGTTGTTGTTCTTTAATCTTAGTTGTGGAGGGCGCCAGTCGCCACCTGGATGCCCGTCGGCAGCTTGTGGCCTCTAAGCTCAAGGTGCTGTGTTCAATCTTAGTTGCAGTTAGGCGTAGCTACCATCCTATGCAGGAGTCGAACCAGCAGCCTTGTTGATAAAAGTGCGCGCTCTATCTGCTGAGACATCCAGGTGGCAGCTCAGTTCAAGGTGACAAGTTCAGTATTAGTTGCAGGCGGGTGTAGCCCACCATTGAACAGGCAGTCTTTTTGTTGGGAGCATGTACTCTCACCAGCTGAGCCATCCTGCCACCTGTTGGCAGCTCAGTGGCAGCCTAGCTCAGGTGCAGCATCACTGGCCCATGTGGGAATCAAACCGGCAGCCTTGTTGCTCAGAGCTCGTGCTCTTAAACTAACTCTTAACCGGCTGAGCCATTTGGCTGGCCCCTTCAGTAATTATTTCTTTAAATAGATTCTCAGTCCCTTGCTTTCTCTCTTCTCCTTCTGGTGCCCCTATGGTGTGAATGTTGTTATGCTTAATGTTGTCCCAGAGGTCTCTTAAACTCTCCTCATTTTTTTGGATTCTTTTTTCTTTCTGCTGTTTTGATTGAGTGTTTTCCACTACCTTGTCTTCCAAATCGCTGATTCAGTCCTCTGCTTCAACTAGTCTGCTAGTGATTTCTTCTAGGGTATTCTTCATTTTAGTTTTTGTATTCTTCACTTGTGACTGATTTTTTTTATGGTTTCTATGTCTATTGTTATGCTTGCTATCTCTCTGTTGAAGTTCTCACTAAGTTCCTTGAGCATCCTTTTAGCCACTGTTTTGAACTCTGTATCTGGTAGGTTGCTTGTCTCCATTTTTTTTAGTTATTTTTTCTGGAGTTTTCTCCTGTCCTTTCATTTGGGGCATATTTCTTTGTTTCTTCATTTTGGCTGCCTCTCTGTGTTTGTTTCTATGTCTTAGGCAGAGCTGCTATGTCTCCCAGTCTTGCCAGGTGGCCTTATATAGTAGTTGTTCTGTGGGGCCCAGTGGCACAGTCTCCCTGGTTCCCGGCTCAGGGTGCTCTAGAAGTGTCCTTGTATGGGTTGTGTGTGCTCTCTTATTTTAGTTGAGTCTTGATTGCTATTGGCATGTCAGTGGGTGAGATTGACCCTCAGGGTGATTGGCTGTGGGGTTTGGCCACGTCCACAGTTTATGGGTTGCTGTGTGAGCAGCTTAACCCATGGAGTGGGATTTGCCCCAGCAGGCTCTGGTGCCTGTTGAGACTGCCCTTCGTGTGTGCCACTTCTGGAGCTAATTAGGCAGTTCTTTGCTGTCAACTTCAGCAAAGTCAACTTCCAAGTATGTTGGTTCTGGGGCCTCTTGGAAGGAACTCTTGTGCAGGCCTAGGTCAGCCACTGCATAGGACTTGCAGGGAAGTACCTGGTAGGAGCTACAAAGTGAACCATGGTTGGTCGTTGCCTGTGCTGTACCTAGAGATACACTGGAGAGACCATGCTACAGGCTGAGGATGGCTGCCACCAACACCGGGTTTGGGCTAGCTCCACAATAAGCTAGGATACTCTGAGGCCTGCTGACACCTGCCGGCTCCCATAAAATTCAGCCACTGATAGAGCCTCCTACAGTATGCCAGTTGGATGAGGCAGGGTCTCAGTGAATCAGCAGGGTTGAGCAGAGAAGCTCACCAGACCAGTCAGATTCAGGTTTGGCGATATGGGGGTAGGCTCAACACAGAAAAGATGGTGTTCACCTGCCGGCTGCACAGGATGAAGGCCCCACACAGGAAAAATGGGGACTGTCCTTGCAGTCCTTGCCCTGAAGTTCCACACTCAGTTTTCCCCCACATATCTCTGACATTCCCAGAGTCACCACTAGGCTGCGGAACCTGGTATAGGAGCCTGGGGTTCCTTGCTCCTTTGTGGGGAACCTCTGTGGCCAAGATATCGCTCTAGATTTTCAACTGCCACACATGAGTGTAAGACCAGCTCATTTCGCATTTCTGCCCCTTTTACCAGTCTAGATCTGGCTGCTTCTTTATATCTTTAATTATAAATTTCTGTTCAGCTAGATTTCAGATGGTTTCCCAGGTTGATTGTTCTATGATATAGTCATAATTTTGATGTGTTAGCGGGATGAGGCAAGCACTGCATTTATCTACTCTGCCATTTGGAACTGCAGACTAAATGCAATTTTTAAAAAGAAAAGAGAATAACTTCTATATTCTTGATGATGTTCTTCATAACTAATGTAAGCTGGAGAAATGAGCTGTTTTTTTTCTGCATGAATTTTAATGATTATAGCTTTGGAATATGTTTTTAAAATAATTTAGAATTACTGTATTTTCTTACAAGAGGAACGTTTTAACAAATTTTACAGGTGTCAAGTACCCCTTGTTCAAATTGGGCAAACATAAATTCTAGTATTATGGGAGTTTTATTTGGAAGTGAACTTTTAACTATTAATACAAATGTCAAGATACTACACAAAACATCCACAGGAAATTTTTCATCATTTTTTTAAATTGTTCACAAACATTTCCTACATTATTCAACATAAAACAAAGAAATGGTACATCTTTTTCTTTCAATTTGCATACAGTGGAAAAAAATATTCCAAAGTTTAATAGACAGTAGGCAGGCTCACAGTTTAAGTCTATAGATGAGAAATTATCTCATAAAAACAATCAGAATTTATTTAGCATCAGTTGTTTCCATAACCAAGTATTATTCTGATTAATAAAATTAGCTGCCATTAAGCTTCTAGTATATACTTATACCATTACATAATTTGTAGTACTGATGCCCACCTTGTCCTTTTCACAATTATTAACATAGAAAACTGTTGCAAAGTGGGGAAAAGCATTTGCAAAAAAAATCCTCAGCTTGTAAGCATGAATGTATATGATGGAATTTTTTCACAAGTAATGATCTTTCAAATCATTGAAAAATCACCCGAACTGAATTGGCCAAGGTATTTTGCCTCTGTTCAAGAGATGTATTTATTTATTCCAACAGAGGAGCTGGAAAAATCAAACTTAATGTTTAGTTTTAGGGTGAGTTGGGGAATTTAGCCATTTGAAAAATGACCGTCTTAAAGAAAATGACCACCAAAAATAGGTTCAGTAAATTTATTTTAAAAATCATAAAATGTTTCTTACAAAAGAGCATTGCATTCTGCATACTGCACTGAATAATTGTAGGGACATAAGGACTATTGTCCCTTTTCCTCCCTGTCTCTCCCGCCCCCAGATGTTACAGTGATCATAAAGCAAAGTGTTCACAATAATCACATAAGGGGAACTTTCCTTTTTAACCAAAAATGAACACAACTTAAAATTGGCTCACTCTGCTGCTGTTTGAAAATTTCAATGTTAGTTTTGGCACACCTTCCACCCCCCAACCCCACCCTGTTTGTAAGGAACTAAAACATTACATCTGGTGAGCAGCAAAGATTTCACTACACCTCAAATGCAGAACACCTGGGAAGCAGAGGCATGTTTGTTTTTTGAACAAGAGATTAAAAAAAAAACCAAAAAGATGCATGACTCCTTCAGTTGTTCACTTGACTTAGAAAAACTTTCTGGAATACTGTTTCACACTATAAAAAAGAAAAAAAAATCTTGCATTAGGATCTTTCAACATCTTCATACTGCTTCACACTGTTCTGCAGTGTGAAGGATTTGTTCTGCAGCAAATTTTATGCGTTCTGTATCTGGTCCTGTGGTCCTGTAATGGTAAAGATCCGATCTTCAGACCCTTCTAAGGGTTCATAAGTTTTGATCGAAGTTCCTGACTCATACCGAATTTGTTTAATCTGCTGAACTACATTTGCCAATAATAGATCCAGCTAAATCTTTGGGAGTAGTTTCTTGTGTAGCAATAATAGGTCCACCAAATTGGGATTGTAAGGCTGTGCACATACTTTGATGGAAGACTCTGATATAAGATCAAGGATGACCTTCATGCAGTCTGCAACCCTATGAGGTTTTCCTCCAATAAGAAGCACTCTATCAGTGGAATGAGGACAGCATTCCTGGAAAAACTTGATTGTTGTCTAAGTGTTCTCTCGAAGTTCTTTGATTATAGCTCCTTTGACCCCAATAATTCCTCCTGCCAAACTCTGATGAATCAACAGCCGCAACTCACTGTCAAAGTCGACACTTCCTTTACAGCGTTGGTCATTTAACCTTCCACAGTATTACACTCAAGCGGAAGCTGGCTGGTTGCAGTAGGTCACAGCCACTGCAGGCCCTCCTCCAAGGTAGGGATGATGTTCTTCAGAATTTCTCCAATTGTTTCAAAATCAGGACTGATACTCAATAGACACTCAGGGCCACTGCTGTCTGGGACTGAAACACTGGCATTGTAGTCTGTATGCAAAGCCATAATATTCTTGCCTCTTTTTCCAATCACTGCCCAGCATTCTTGCTCTGAAACAGAATGCATAATTCAACCATCTCATCAGTGTTTCTAGATCTTTTAAAAGCTTGTTCCTCTTCCACATTTTCTGCAGGATGTTTACCAAAGTCATCATTGATTACGCTGTTGTGGAACCTTCCCTCTAACTGCTCGATTTCAACTTTCTTGGATTAAAGGGACACGAAAATCTAGGCTATAAACAAGCAGGATATAGGCAAGATCTCATCAAGGTTGAATCTGCAGAGAAATAGAGGGTAATGGCGTCTGCAGCCAGCTTTAAAATATGTTTTAATTTCCAGTTTCTTTTGATTTTTGTCCTTTTTTTCTAACAACAATAACATTTTCATTCAAATTCTAGACATTTATCATAAGAAAATCATAAGGGAAGAAATATTTGAAATCAGAATAATGATCCAATAACTGTGGAATGATGATACTATAGAAGATTATGTATTATAAGAAATACTATTTATGAAAGATTTTTAAAGGCAGGTAAAATATCTATCATATAATGTGAAGTTAAAATTCTAGGATATAAATTCTGGGAAATCATATATACACATAATTATTACTATTAATGATATTTACTTCTGAGTGATGAAGTTATGAGTAATTTTATTTTCTTCTTGGTACTCTTCTTAATTTTCAATATTACATATGAGCAGAATATTACTATTGTAATTTGAAAAGCTATTTATAGAGCTGTTACTTTGAAAGAAGGGATATCTTTCTAAAATACCTATTTGAACTTTACTTTGACTACTTATTAATTAGCAAAGTAAGCAGAATTCTAAAATTTATTGGGTTGAAAAATATTTAGTTTCAGAAAACAAAACTAAATAACCAAAATTCCCTTCAGCAAGTGAATGGATAAATAAACTGTGGTACATTTAGACAATAGAATATTACTCAGTGCTTAAATGAGCCAACAAGCCATGAAAAGACATGTAGAAAACTTAAATGCATATGATTACATGAAAGAAACCACTCTGAAAGGGCTACATACTATATAAGTTGACAATTAAGTTCACGAACTAATCATGAAAAAGTGCTACATACCTTATTGCTGAATATCACTATGGTCACCTTCAAAGCACTCTCCTTGGGAAGCTATGCACTGATACCAGCACCTAGTCCACCCTTCAAAGCAATTTTTGAACTCTTTTTCTGGAAAGGCCATCAGAACTGTCATCATGTTACCCTTGATGTCCTGAATGTCACCTAAATGTCTCCTCTCAATATTTCCTTTATCTTCTGGTAAAGAAAGAAGTAATTGGGGGCCAGATCAGGTGAGTAGGAGGGGTGTTTCAATACAGTTATTTGTTTACTGGCTAAAAACTCCCTCACAGACAGTGCCATGTGAGCTGGTGCATTGTTGTGATGCAAGAGCCATGAATTGTTGGTGAAAAGTTCAGGTCGTTTTCGTCTAACTTTTTCCTTCAGCCTTTTCAGCATTTCCAAATAGTAAACTTGGTTAACTGTTTGTCCAGTTGGTACAAATTCATAATGAATAATCCTTCTGATATCAAAAAAGATTAGCAACATTGTTGCAACAAGTTCACAAACTTAAATGTCAAAACTCGTATAATTCTAACTATATGACATTCTGGAAAACCAAAACTGGGTAGGAAGTTAAAAGATCAGTGGCTGCCAGAAGTCAGGGGGAAAGGAGTGAGGAATAGGGGGAGCACAGAGGACATTTAGAGTAGTGAATCTATGGTGTATGAAATTATGATGGTGGAATATGTCATTCCATGGTTTGTGAAAGCCCATACAATGTGCAAAGCCAAGGGTGAACCTTAAGGGAAAGTGTGGACTTCAGGTGATGATTGGTCAATGCAGGCTCATTGATTGTGGCACATGCACCAACACTCTGGTGGAGAAGCTGATAGTGAGGGAGGCGGTGCCTGTGTGTAGGAAAGAGGGGTGAAAACTCAAATTTCTGATCCGTTTATGCTGTGAGCCTGAAACTGCTCTTAGTTTCCTAAGTTGCCTGAAACAACTTAAATATTTTTTTTAAAGCAAAATAAAATCAGTGAATGATATTTAGTACCCCTGCTTTCAGTGAATTCTACTTGTGGCTTTCGTTTTGAGTTTTTTGTTTTGTGTTTACCCTGCTCTGATGAATGCTAGGTTTGGGAACACATTGCTCAGCTGTCTGGTAGATACTCAAGTATCTGTTCCTCCCCTCAGCTGAGATATTTGACCTTTAGCCTCTTTGTGTAGGAATATAAAAATGGGAAGCATAAGTCTCCCAGGGAATCAAGTAAATATCTTATAAGAAAAGTTGTTTAAAAAATTTTGGCATGAATTTTGGGGGTGTTCTGGGTGGTTTGAAATTGATAATGAAATAACCAATATATAAACTTTGCCCAACTTGCTATGAGCAGGATAGATTTGATGTCCATTTGTGTGCTTTTCTGTTGTTTTTGAAATGCAGCATCCTTATTTGGTGACAATTTCCTGATTTTTCTCTGGAAAACTTCCCCCTCTCCACTCTCTACCCATGTGGGGCTCCAGACCCTGGTTTAGGCAGCAGGAGACTGAGGCCTAATCTAATCAGAGCAGGCCAGCTCCAGGCCACAGTGATTGGCTCAGAGCTAATGGCAAGGCTCCGTAATTGACAGAAATTCGGTGGGTGTGAGTGTGTTTGCTCAGCCAGAGGCAGCGCGGTTTGAAGAGCAGGTATTCCAGATCCCACTGCTTGGCTGTGAATCCCAGTTCCCCAGTTCTACCTACTAGCTATATGACCTTGAGTAAGTCACTCATTCTCTCTGGGTCTCAATGTCCCCTATAAAATAGGGCCAAGAATACTCCCGACCTCATGGTGTTGTTATGGGGATTGCAGGAGTTAATATTTGTAAAGCTTGGCACCATGTTTATCCCCTCAACATTTTCCCTTGGGTATGTAATGAGCATCTCAAATTTAACCTACCCCAGATGAATCCTCCTTTCATAGTTTTCCTCAACTCAGTTAATGACGTTTCCATCCTTCTAGTTGCTCAGGCCAAAATCCTTGGGTTACCTTTGACCTCTCTGTCTCTTTACCCCATAAACAAATTCTGTCAGTTTCACTCTCAAAATAGCAGGGGTAACACTTTATGAATTATATCAATTATATCAATTTCTAACGACTACATTGTACACCAGAAACTAATATAAAATAATATTGTCAACTATAATTGAAAAAAATAGTCACTGCAATATAAAAAAATATATTTCGATTTCAACCAACAGATGTTGATGCCAAGCTGGTTCAAGGCACCATTATCTCTTGTCTGGATTGTGGCGCCATAGCCTCCTAAATAATTTCCCTGACCTGCCCTCCATTCACTACAGCTTATTCTCAACAAGCAGCCAGAGCGAGCCTGAGAAAGCAACGCGGGGAAATGTCCCTCTCCTGTACTGAGTGCCCGTCTACCCTCCGGCCCCCAACGCATGCAGTTACCCCTCTAGCCTCTCCCCTACTTCCTTCCTCCTTGCTGCTCTGCACCAGGCACTTCTTACCTGGCCTCCGCTCTTCCT